AAGAAAACAGCAGAGGTTCCTGGCTTTACAGGAACACATTTAAAGAGATAAGGGCTCTAACAAGAGGGATGAAAATTGAATATGCTTGGAAACAAAGATCAGCAAACTCTACGGAAGATGCACCATCCAAACACGGTAAATAGGGGTCAGCTATTTTGGGGAAGGACTAGGGTTTGAAGTTAGTGTATGGATTAGGTGGCAGTAGCCACTCACTTGTGGCTTTGCTTGGCAGATTGTAAATAGGAAAAAAAGGAAATCCACAAGTGACACACTTGCACTTGATGGTGTCAGAATCTTAACATCTTCTGTTAAACTACACCAATTCTATGAAAGATGTTTCTTGGCTAACCACATTGCTTTTCATAAATCTAGAACAGCCAAGGAGCAGTGATGGCATTATATTCTGATCCTATAGGCTTTGGGAACTCCACATGAGCTCAATTGATGGCTGTCCTACAAGGCCTCAGACTGAGTATAAGGTTAAGCACGAGTAACAAAGTAGTAGCAGATCCTAGAATTCTGGTGTGATGGTTAAGGAAAGCCAGTCAAGGAACATGGCATTATAGACACACTTTGAGGGAGATAAGGAGCTTAGTAAGAGAATTGGAGCAACAGCTCTGTGCATATCAAGATTAGCCAAGTTTTTAGCTGATTCATCTGCAAGACATGGAATCAACAAGGGACTGATGTTCTGGGGGGGGGGGTAACCAATGAGGATCACACGTAAACAAATGTGTAAAAAAGAGGAGTGGAGACTAGCCTAACAGAAGGCATATCACTATGTAAGTTGCTAATAACATTCTTTTTCTATGATCAATAAAGTTACACAGCTAACAATCCAAAAATCAAAGACTAACAAAAAAAAATTCTGCTCCATAAAAACATGGCTGTTTGTATGGCTATGGTATTTTATAAAATGTCATTTATAATTTTTAATCTATTTACAGTCACTGGTGATATTTACAATCAAATGAGAATAGAAAACTAGAAGTTTCTAATACTAAGCTGATCCTAAATTTGGAGTGGATATAAAGATACTATAGAAATTTCAGAAACCATCATCATCAAAGCCTTATCAATATGCTAAATAAGCCTTTCTCAATCATTTTGCTGTATATGGAGCCACTGTTGAAAAATTAGCTGTTGTATCCATTCTTCTAACTCAAACCAATCAATCACCCCCTTACTCTTTTAAAGCTCTTCACTTACACCCTCCTACTCCTCACAATTGCAACCATTAGTATTTATTTAGCACAAGAGAACAATCATAGCCAAATTTCCATCATCTTATCACCTACTGGGACTGCCTCTGAGTTCCTGTTAATGAGTTTATTTCTAATTATATCCCTCCTAGTTCTACAACCCATAAATCTCAACCATCATAATTCAGTTACATTATTGATAAAAAAAATATAGTTACATTGAGTATATGTATTTGTTTACCAAGTTCACCTTACTAGTTTATAAAGCATGCTGTCCTATATAATTTTCTTTGCAGTCTGATAAGTAGGCAGGCATCAATTGAACAATACTTTGGAAGAACATCTCCACCTCATCCACCTAGCTATAAATTCTACCAGCAGTGTCCCTTTTGATTATTGGCATCATTTAACCAAGAAACAGAAAAGGATTTTGTTTAAGGTTTCCCCAAGCCACCCATCTAGTTTTTTTTATTATCAATTTAAACCAGTCAATCCTTTTTTGGTAGGCTAGCCCCCACTATCTACAAGGGAGACTCATCCCCAATACAACTGATGTCTATGAACCCCTTCTCTAGCTAAGGCATCAACTAGACCACTGGTCAATCTTTTACCCAGTTGAACAATGTTTCTACTTCATTAGCCAAAAGTATCACCATGATGTGCCTGTACATCCAAGGTCCACCATCCATGCTAGTTATTCCACCACTACTACTATCCTTGGCTTGTTTTGGACCCCAGGGATTCTAAGGCTGTGTCTGGAATATGTGTCTATAGCCTATCTCCCCATGGATAAGAAGGTTTTACATCTCATGGATAAAGTTTGCTTGGATGTGTAATAATAGTGGGTAAAGTAGGTTATTTAAGAAGGTAGAGGATAGGGGTGGAACTTGATCAGGCTTGGGATGAGGATTTGTTAAAATTTGAATAGGCCTGGCCCAAAAGCCCAGGCTCATTGCTGTGTAAATTGTTCAAAGCAGGCACCTGATTTGCACCCCTAGTAGAGGATACTCTGGTTGTAAAATGTTGTAATAAAGGTAGCTTATGTATTTCAAAAGGAAATTTCTACAAAACAGTTGTAATGCCAACTATGCTGCATGGAGCAAAGTGTTGGGCAGCCAAGAAACAACATCTCAAAAAAATGAGTGTTGCAGAAATGCATATGTTGAGATGGATGAATGGAAAAACTAGAAAGGATAATGTCAGAAATGAAGTCAAAGGAACCTAAGAGTAGCTCCAATGGGTGATAAAATGAGAGAAAATAGACTAAGATGGTTTTGTCACTTGAATCGAAGACCTTTGACAGCACTCATAAGAAGAAATGATCTTTTACAAGATGGAGTAGGGGTAGACCAAAAAGGGCATGGATTGTAGTAAGAAATTAGGATATGGCATTAAACAGGAATGTAATGGTGAAACAGGATTCATGTTGCTGACCCCATATAGTTGGGATAACGATTGGATGATGATGATGATGGTGTGTTTTAAAGCAACTTAAAGGCTTAGTGGTCATAAAAAAGCAACTTATATTGTGTTTGGAGGGTTATGGGCATTTTCTAAATTTCATTGAAGTTGAAATATGTAAAATGTGCTTTTGAAAGACCAAGTTCAGATAATTATCAAAAAAAAGAAAGACCAAGTTCAGATAACAAGTTTTTAAGGGACAAGAAAAAGGAGATTGGAGATCTTATTTCCTAAAAACTTGCCTGCCAAAACACCCTTTACCCACCTATATGGATAAGGATTTGTGTTTTACCAAATGACTTTAACCACCTTTTTCTGCTTATTTTATCCAAAAAAGTAGCAAAGGCCTTATTTCCCTGAGAACCAAATGCAGCTTAAGTTATTCCTCCATTTTTCTAGCCTCATATTTACCCCTTCAGTCTTGATGATCAATTAATGCCATTCACAAATAAAATTTACCACAGGAGCTATCTTGCATATTAATCAGTTAGCTCATCCACAACCACTGCAGAAAGATATAAGCTCAACCTTCTAACATAGTTTTCATGTTTACTAGAAATTTAAGATGTCCTCTTAATCCCAGTCATGCTGATAGCAGGGAATGCAAAAAGACTCCTTGTTTCCCATTCTTTAATTTTCAAGATGTCAACAACCCTAATCCTAGTGTTTATAGTAAAAGCCATTTATTGGACACCTTTCAGTTAAAAAGTAGAGCTTTCTATTTGAAAATGGTACATATTAAGTACAAAACTTATGAAATGCTCTAGCATAGATGAAAACTTTGGAATCTATCTAATCATGTTTGTCTTTTGTCAAGGCACATTCAATCAGTCAACCACAGTCTCAACTGTAAGTTTGATATCAAGAGCTGAAATCATTTTATGCCTCTTGATTGCACCTATTGACAGCCCAATAATGACATCTTAATTTGCTTTAGGATAGTTGTTCTCTCACCACATACCAGGAGAGGATGAATTATGTGGAGAAGCACCAGAACTGCTTTTGTTTGGAGAATTTGGGATAAGAGGAATGCTAAAAATCTTCTCCAACAGAATTCAACATCCAGAGGTTATCATTGGTCTTCACTATCAGAGTGGTCAATGAAGTAGAGATGGATTCAAAGGCATCTTGGTGGCTTACCTGATTAGAGGTTAACAATGCATTACAATCTCTTCCCTCGGTACACAGAGGTATTAATCTTAACTTTGATGGATGCTCTTCAAGGAGGCCAAGGCCTTCACGACTTGGTGGTCTTTAGAAGTCAGGAGTGCATAACACCTGGGTTTCCTATGGCCATTTAGGTTTTAGAGACTCTTTGAGAACTGAGATCATGACCCCATTCCATGGACTCAGGTTGATTTTTCTTTAAGGATTTCTGAAGTCTGAACATATAAAGTGGGAGAAGGATTGTAGGTTATTGTTGTTTGACATTGGACAGAAACCTTGAACATTGATCATGAAAAGGCCAATACCCAATGTTGGTCCCAGCTATCTGGGGTCTTGGGAGGGGTGCACTGGATACGGACCTAACCTTAGGCTTTTTCTTTGGCATAATGTGGCCGTTTATGGGGCCTGGGCCTTGAACATTGATCATGTATAAGACTAATTAAAAACATGAAGCTTCAAATGGTTAAAATGTCCCATCATGTGGCTTCCCAACTCAGAAGCAAAGAAAACACCAGTTTGTTAGACACATTTGCTTGAATTCCAAATATCCTGTCTTAGTTTGAATCTCCTTAAAGTATTTTGGTTGTCATAAAGGATACTGGAGGAGTGCCTAAGGGTTTTTGAACTAAGTTGAATGAAGAATAGAATCAACACACAACATTGTATCTTCATTAAAAACACACAAAGAAATGAAGAGTTACTTGGAATTAAGGATCAAGAAATATTGCAAATGACCAATATTTTGGCTCTATAATGTATAGGCCGGAAGAGATTGCAGATAATCGTTAACTATACAGTTTGAGCTAAGTCTGTAAAGAGGATATATTTTTCCACAGTTATACATGAATGATAAGCATTATGTGACTGTTCTGGACTAAATAATTGTGATTTCAAGAACATTAAGCAAAATAAATGTAGTTAAATATGATAATGATTAATGGAAAGACTAGAAAAGAGACAATGAGCTGCTCCTGTAGGATGTTAACGATGCTGATACAAAACATGTAATCAATTCCATCTAAGTTGCAACCCAGCTACTATTAGATAGAATTTTTCAGGTTCCCTAGGTTTCAGACAGTAAATATAGAAAAGATGAATTACACAATTGAGAGAAGAAGCATAGAATATCTCAAGTGCAGGAAAAGCAAACTCTTTAAAATGAAAAAGTGATTAATTAATCTAGAATTTTTTTTCTGCGTCAAAAACATCAGTAGTTCAAATCAATTTAACCATCAAAACAATACGGGCATTTACAATTCCTCATCTTCAGCTACTCTGGCCGACTCCCCATAAACCTTGATCAGAAAAGAGCTCATCCCTAATTAGTCTCAATGAGAAAGATAACAGACCATTACCTATTACTAAATGAGAAAGATATTAACTCAATGCAGATGCTTATCAGACCTGCAAATTAGTTTTAGCTAGAACGACATAAAGCAAAAAAGAAGGCAATTTTGAATCAATACAGGAAGGGATATGGCTCAGTTAGATTAACTGTTCTGGATCAAATGAAGTATCACTGAAAAACATGGAAGTTTTCTACACGGGACACCACAAGGACGCATTGCCTACATACCAATGTCCATCAACATGACAAGAGACCCGTGTACCCCATCAACCCATCAAGGCACCGCTGTGAGTCTAGCTTCAAAGACAAATCCCCTACAGAGCCCATCGCCATTTGCCGGAACCCCATCAATCCATCTCCATTCCCCTTTCCCCACCTCTGAAGAACAATCCCACATTGCCAATTTCCCCACCTTTCTCCCCGAAAAGCACAGGCGATCACCCCCTCCAAACACCTTAAACTTACTCGATTCTTGAAAGCTCTGATACATTTCGACCGGCATTCGACCCGCTTCGTCCCACTCCAATGTTTCCAAATCTAACCTCAAAATCAATATCGTCGAGCACGAAGCATTCAACGAAAAGGAGGATTTCAACCCACCAACCATCAGAAGACGATTCCCGGTCCCCCGAACCAACCGGGGCCGCTTCAATATATCAAACACGTCGCCCCATTCTTGCTTCTCTAATCGATTCCACCCCTGTGACTTCTCAAGCTCAGCAACCGTACACGAGAACAGCTTCCACTGGTTTCGCCACGGCGAACCCACATCACAGAGGGCGAAAACGGAGTCGGACACCAAAATCGGGCATCGAGGCTTGGAAACCAAATTGGAAGAAAACTTGAGCCACGGCCCAGAACCAGAGAAATACAGGGCAGCGAGTTCAGTGAGAACCAAGACTCGGCCGCCGGTGCCCGCCAGGACGGTTCCATGCCGGGACCAGGCCGAGCCAAGCGGTGGCAACACCCGGAATTGCCGAGTCAGCGGATTGCAGAGGACAAGTGACTTGCTGGAATCGGGGGAGTCAGCCCAGAGGTAAACGAGACCGAAGGACGACGCTATGGCGGCGGTAGACTTGAACGGGAGGAAACCAAGCGGGAATCTGAGCCATTGGGTGAGGTCGGGGTCGAAGACATGGAGAAAGGGATGATGGGGAGACACGTGGCGCTGGTGGTGGGGCGGACGGAGAGCGATGAGCGGGAAAGGTGGTCGGACGGAGATGAGGTTTAGAAAGGAAGGCGAGGTTAGAGTCTCGTAGAATAATTTGCAGACGGATCGACAGATTAAGATCTGACGGAGGGGGAGGTTGGAGAAGATCTGATGGAGAGTGTCCTGAGGGAGGAGATGAATCAGAGACGTATCCATCAATTGTGAGCTGCGCAACAGTGAATCCGAAATTGGGATAATCTTTCTCGAGGGTCGGACGGAGACAATCGAATCAGGCGCGCTTCGGCCGGAATTTCTGGAATGACGGGGAATGGTTCGCTTATATACGACCGGGATTGGCGAGGGGTTGGAAAACCGAGACCGGCTCGTGGTTGTTTTGTTGAGCACTGACTGTTTTGTTCAGTTGCTTTCTCTGAGCACTGTGCTTCAATAGAGGTTGTGTATGCTGCTTAGTGCTTACCCTTATGAGAGACACGCGGCATATAAGTGATGGGCCGATGCTTCCTGATTCAAGCAGATCATTGGTGATCAGATGATTGGAGACTTGGAGTGGTGGGTTTCAGGTGGACCGCATGAAGCATGTCAGAGCAAGACAGGATTACGTTAGACTTTTCCGATTAGCCACGTCAGCATAAATTGGTTTGGGCAACTGAGCCCACTTATATAGATATGGCATGATAAGCCACGTCATGCAGTCGACGTCGATGACAATTATTGAAATTGTTTTTTATTTTTGAAAGGGGTAAGCCACGTCACAATGAGTTTTCACTCTTTCTCAAACTCAATCACAACTTTTTAAAACGTCTAAAACTCATCAAAGTTTTTATTTTCTAAAACTCACCTTTGTTACTGCTACACTGTTAATGTTTGTTAAGGTGTATCAACATAAAATAATAATTTTTATGACTAAATCACTCTTAAATGATGAGTTAGAGGAAAAGGGTCTTTATTATTTTTCAATTTTATTTTTATTTTTTACATTTTAGTGTTTTGTTATAATTGCTAATGTTTTTTATAATTTCTGTTTTTTTATATTTTTCCATTTTCTACAATCTATAAAATTTTATGTATTTTTTTATTTATTTGCAATTTCTATGCTCTTCTATAATTTTTGATGTTTTTTTACAATTTTTATTTTTTAATTTTGTTTCTCAATTTCTATAGTTTCTATAATTTGAAAATAATTTTTTATTTAGTGTGCAATTTCTATAATTTTTTATATTTTTTTCCAATTTCTATGTTTTTATGTATTTTATATTTGAAAATATTTTTTGAACTTTTTCCTTTTTTCCTTATCTAAATATTAAAATATATGTACATATTTTATATTTTCTATGAAGGTTAAAATGGTAATATAATAACAGTTGTTAGTCTCTTTAACGTCAAGTTAGTGACATGGTGAGTTTTAGACATTTTGAAAAGTCATGGTGAGTTTAAAAGAAATGCTGAAAACTCTTGGTGAGTTTTTGACAATTTCCCAAGAAAAAATGGTTAAATTAGGGGTGTTTTTCAAGTACTTTCATGTGGTATTTTGATATTTCCACATAAATTTTGGCCTTTCTTAATTTGGTAATAAAGGATGGGAATACATAAAGACAAATACCTTATTTTTGAATTTAATCCCTCTCTAATTGTAAGGATAAAAATATAATTTGAAGAACCACTTGTCTCATTTTAAATACTATTGTTAAGTCTTATATTTAGGCATTAACTCCATTAACATTTATTAAATCTTATTCTTGACTAAATATTCCTATTTCTGAATTTGGTCACTCTCTAATTGTGAGGTCACAAAATGTAATTTTAACTAGTACATCTCTCCTCATTCAATTCCTTCTCATTAAGGCTTATATTTAGGATATCAATTACCTTTTTCAATTCAATCCTATATTAATTAACCCTATTAAAGAAAAATATGTGTGACAAAGAACAATTATTTTTATTGATGATAGAAATAAAATACAAATTTAAGACCAACCCAAAAATGGAGTTGCTTTCATATTTGGTGGTGAGTCAATAAAATGTGTCTACCCTTGATGTCATAGTTAAACGATAATAATTAAAAAGATAAAAATATAGAAAACATTTGGGCAATTCTCTAATATCATATACTCATCATATTAAACAAAAATGAGTGTGACAAATAAGAATAATTTTTATAAACATAAAATTATAAAAATATATATAGAAATTTTTAGAAACGTATTATTTACTATCATTATTAAGGGTGCAAATTTGGAAAGTCCAACTCGACTAAACTCGAGTTTTTGCATGGGTTAGGCCTGAGTTTTCGGGCTGTAGGTTGGGCCTTAGCCAAAACCTTAAGCCTAAACCAACCCAAACCCACTTGAGAAAATACATAGATGTGTGTATTATATTTATATAAAAGCCATAATTGATTGGATGAATTTTGGTGACAAAAACAATAAATTTTTCCCTACAATGGTTACTATTAGAAGAAATTCAACTAGAATATTCAGATTAAAAAACGACGAGAATGACTAGATAGAAGACCAACAACAATTAGTAGACTTTATTGTCAAAAAATTTGAGGAAAGATATGAGTCTGATAATGTTCATGGGGTGGATGATTACATCAAAAACATAAATCCTTGCATCTTAGTGGAGTAAAACAAATTACTTTGTACAGAAGTTACAAATAGAGAGATTTGGGAAGTTGTTAACTTAATGAAAGACCTCAAAACTCCTGGCCCAGATGGGCTAAATGCTCTATTCTTCAAAAAATTTTGGAATATCATTAGAAACACGGTGTGCAATGTCATAAGAGCTTTTTTTAATTCTGAAAAATTAAATAAGGTTCTTAATGAAACATTCATCACTCTTATTCCCAAAGTTAAGAACCCAGATAATGTAAACAAATTCAAGCCTATAAGTCTTTGCAATGTGATTTATAAAATCATTATCAAAATTTTGGTAAATAGACTTAAGTCGATTCCTAATGACATTATCTCTCCACTTCAGATTGCTTTTGTCCCACACATACATATTAATGATAACATTCTTATTGCACATGAAATGCTCTATAATATGAAAAAGAAAAAAGGGATCTCAGGCTTTTTGGCCGGTAAGGTTGATATGGAGAAGGCCTATGACAGGCTAGAATGGTCTTTTATTGAGAAAGGTCTTACAAAGTTTGACTTCCATAGGAAATGGATTGATTGGGTCATGTCATGCATAAAATCAATCTCCTATAAAATTTTGATTAATGACTCCCCTTCTAGAAGTTTTGAGCCATCTAGGGGCATTAGGCAGGGAGATCCTCTATCCCCATACATTTTTGTATTATGTGTTGAAGCCTTAACTAGGAACCTAATTGATGAATTAAGAAAGCATAAGAGTCAAATTGGTTTTAAAGCCTTAAGGGATGGTCCTTATATCCCTATTCTTCAATTTGTTGATGATTGTCTTATTTTTGCTAAAGCTACCATTCCGTCTTGTGTGAAGATTAGGGAGATACTTGATAAGTTTGTTGAAGCTTCTGGTCAAAGTCCAAACTTTATGAAATCAACTCTTAGAATCTGTAGTAGCATCTCATCTAGATTGCAAAAGATTCTTTCAAGAATGCTTAAAATCCCTCTTGAGAGAAAAGACTCCACCTATTTAGGTGCTCCAGTCATCAATGGAAGAGTGTTAAAGGAAGTATTCAACAATTTTTGAGATAAAGTTAATAGGAAATTGACTGGATGGAAGAGGAAGGCTCTCTCTTTGGCAGGTAGAGCCATTCTACTTAACTCTACTATTAGCTTTATGCCTCATTTTATCATGAGCTCATTAAAAATTCCAAATAACGTGATTGAGGAGATTGACAAGAGACAAAGGAACTTTCTTTGGTCCAAAGGCAATGATAAAAAGACCATTCATCTAATGAGTTGGGGGAAAATTTGTCTCCCAAGAATTGGGGTGGTTTGGGCCTTAAAAAATCTTCACTGGGTTAATGAGGCTTGCCTAGAAAAGCTAGGTTGGAAAATTCTAAAGGACAAACAAAATTTATGGGTCCGAGTGATTTCCCACAAATACCTTCAAAATGAATCATTTTGAAATGCTAATCCTAAAAATGGAATTTCTTGGGCTTGGAGGGGAGTTATGAATTCTAAAGACCTACTCAAAAGGGGTCTAGGTTGGATTGTTGGCAATGGAAGGAATATTAAGTTTTGGAAAGATATCTAGTTGGACTCAAGTTCAATTGAAGGTCTATTGAACATAGAGCCTTTGGGGGCTGAAATTGAGCATGAGGAGTTGCTAGTAAGTGATGTTATTAATCATGAAAGACATATTTGGGAGGAGAATAAGATCATTAGCTTAGTTCCCCTCAATATTTGGAATGGCATTAGAACCATCTTTATCCCCTCTGACTCAAATGAGGATATGTTGATTTGGAGGTTGAATCCCAAATGGCACTTTATTGTTAAATCGGCATACAAAGAAGCTATTATCATGCACAGAGGTCAGAGTGATTTTAACCTTCAGGTCAACAAGATTTGGGGGCTTAAAATTCCTCCTAAAATCAAAACCTTTTTATACTTGTTGCTTAATTCTAGGCTGCCTTCTAAAACCTTCTTAAGGTCTTTAGGTCTCTCCATTGATGTTGGTTGTAGCTTCTGCGATGGAATTGAAGACACCAATCATATTTTTAAAAATTGTACTATTGCTAAACAAATCTGGAATATCTTAAACCCAAATATTAAGGGGCCTAGTGAAAACGACTCCTCACTTCGAGAGTGGTGGGATGGCTTATTTTCCAATCAGACTGATTCTATGATCCCTGTGAAATCAAGCTTTATCTTGTGGCAGATTTGGTAGAATATAAATGAAAATACCTTCCAAAGCCATTGTAGCCACCCTTTGGTCATCATTGATAGAGTTTTGTCTCTATATTTTAATCACAATGTTGATAATTGTTCTAAATCTAGTACTATACAGAATAAAAATTGGAAGCCAATCAAATGGAAAGCTCCAAAAGGGATTTCTATCAAAATTAATTTTGACGCATCCAAAAATGATAAAGGTGATTGCGCAATTGGTTGCGTTGCAAGAAATCAATGGGGGATTTTTCTTGAGACCAAAGCTTATTTTATCGGGAATTCCTCAATTAATGTAGCGGAGGCTTGGGCTGTGTGGAAGGCCCGCAATATTGCTTTTAACTATAGGGGTCTCCCCATCTTCATCGAGGGAGACTCTTTTCTTGTGATTTCGTGTTTAAAGAACAAAGTGGACTGCCCGTGGAGATTGAAGACCATCATTGAGGAGTGTTTGAAGTTGGCTAGAGATTTGGAATGTGGTGTCACCTACAACCATATCTATAGAGAGGCCAATCAAGTAGCAGACTGGATGGCAAACCAAGCTCTTTCTTTTTCTCTCAACA